TCGCTACTCGCTTTCCTGCGGGCTCCACACGGCAGCGAACGCGAGCCCGAGGTTTACCCTGCTGCTAATCCCCTCGCGCCGCCGGAGAGGAAGCAAGGGAGGGAGATCTGCGCGCGGCCATGGCGGCGGCGGAGCAAGGGGTGGACGCCGCGAGGAAAGAGAAGGAGGAGGAGGAGGAGCAGGTGGTGAATCCGTGGGAGGTGTCGGCGGGGAAGGGCGGCATCGACTACGACAAGCTCGTGGACCAGTTCGGCTGCCAGCGCATCGACGACGCGCTCATCGACCGCATCGCACGCCTCACCGGACGACCGCCGCACTGCTTCCTCCGCCGAGGCCTCTTCTTCGCCCACCGGTACCGAGCCACCTGCACCCAAAAAAACACTACTTTTTTATCCCCGGAGGAGGAGGAGGTGCTGACGATTTTTTGTGTTATAGTGATTTGAACGAGCTACTGGATTTGTACGAGAAGGGGGAGAAGTTCTACCTCTACACGGGGAGGGGACCCTCGTCGGAGGCCCTGCACCTCGGCCATCTCATCCCCTTCATGTTCACAAAGTAAGCATTGTGTCTCGGTACCCTGAAATTTGGGCTACGGCTCCTCAGTTATGCTCTGATTTATGTTTGTGTTGCATAATTGGACAATGCTGTGTCTGCGAGGGAGTAGCAAGTGGTGTTCTTTCACTACATACAAGAACCCACTTTGGATACGTTAATGACACATGGAAACTCTTCTCTTTTTTTTGACAAAGGATTAATGGAAACTATTCTTGATTTGCAAATATAACCAAATTGAGTTATCCAATTTGAACTGTTCCTTGTGGTAGACTGTTAGTTCACATGGCTAATGAACTGATGGCCGGGGACGGGATAAGGCAGGATATGTGCTGCAAAATTGACTTCTCCAATTTGAGGTGTTTCTTGTGGTAGACTGTTTTTCACATGGCTAATCAACTGATGGTCGGGGACGGGATATGGCAGAATGTGTGCTGCAAGTCTCCACAGTTGAAGATCCTTAGGAATATTCATAAACATGTTTCTTGAAGTGAAAGGGTTTTATTTTATTTTATTTTGAGGAAACCTAAACAACACTCAAGTTTGTTTGATAACTCGCACGTCGCTTTCTTAGTTCTGGTTTTGTAAGTAATGTTTCATTAACTATCAGAATCTTTCTTCAGATACTTGCAGGAGGCTTTTAAGGTGCCCCTAGTTATACAACTGACAGATGATGAGAAGTTCTTGTGGAAGAACTTGACTATTCAGGAAAGTAAAAGGCTTGCCCGTGAAAATGCTAAAGACATTATAGCATGTGGTTTTGACATTGAAAGAACATTCATTTTCTCCGATTTTTCTTTTGTTGGAGGGTAAGATTACTCTTCCTAATTCTGATTGATATTTTAACTTTTGACTGATATTTTTGGTCCATCACTAAGTAAATGAATACCATGCTATAAATCTTGGCTTAGCTTGTTATATGAAAACAATAACCCCTCTGGCCTTGTCTTGCAGTGCTTTTTATGAAAACATGATGCAAGTTGCCAGATGTGTAACTATGAATAAGGTGAGAGCTGTTCAATTAAGAAAAAATGTTCAAACACTACAGAGCTTACATTTAAGCATCATTGGTTGGCTAATATGTTTTACTCGAACAATAGGCTATAGGAATATTTGGGTTCAATCTCGAGGATCACATAGGAAAGGTTAGCTTCCCTCCAGTGCAGGCAGTCCCATCATTCCCTTCTTCATTTCCCCATCTCTTCGCTGGCAAGGACCAACTGCGGTGCCTTATCCCATGTGCAATAGATCAGGTACAGACATCTTTGGTATAATTGTCTTTACTAGCATAAGTGGTTGTATATCAACTTGCTAGCATACTTGTAATATTTCTCTTAGCGTAAATTTCTGAACTATTGCCTTTTAAGTTCCTATTTATTTCCATCCTAAATTTGAATTGAGCCCCACTTATGCAAAGTAGGGGTAAATTTGACAATTTGAATTGGTGCCTTTATCATTTGTTATTTGTAGCACTAGATTTGATTGTGCCCTCCAATATGCAAATTAAGAGTAAATCATTCTTCCCGCAATTATCAATAAAATGTATCTTAAGTGTTTTAATTGGAAGATGCCGAGAATGTGGCATATGTTTGTGTCTTTTGTTTTAAAGTTTGACCCATACCAAAAAAAAAAAAAATTGGTACATCTTTGTGTGTCTTTCCCTTCAAATTTTGAGAATAGAGTTTTTTTTCCTGCAGGATCCCTATTTTAGGATGACTCGTGATGTTGCTCCTAGAATTGGTTATCAGAAACCGTCACTGATTGAATCTAGATTTTTCCCTGCTCTTCAGGTTTGTTGACCTTGATTGTTTCTAGTTAATTTATAGTTTTAACTTGCTTGTGATTTCTTTACCTTTTTATTATATAAACGGTTATGATTTCAAGGGCATTGATTTGTATGTTCTTTTTCACAGGGGGAGAACACAAAAATGTCAGCCAGTGATGCAAATTCGGCGATATATGTGACAGATAGTGCTAAAGAAATAAAGACAAAGGTCTGCCCTGCTCTGAAGTTTGTTTTTAGCTGGAAATTCTTTTTACCAGACTACCCGTTTTAGTTGTCCCATTTAAGTTATGGTGAAAATGGTTATTAGACTGAACCAAGAATTAGCTGATCTCCTGCATCTATCTCTTATAATTTGTTTCCAATGTTCCAGGTGAATAAATATGCCTTCTCAGGTGGCCAGGACTCAATAGAGCTCCATAGAAAACTTGGAGCTAACCTTGATGTAAGCCTTTTCCCGTTTATAATTGAGGATATTGTATTCCAAATAGTGTGTCTGCATTATGCACCTGACCTTTTGCTTTGAACTCAAAAATTAGATTTTTAATCTGAATAAATATATCACTGGAAGCTTCCAGTTCAAAAATTCATATAGCTCTAAATGTCTTCTGTTTCTTGAAGTATTTCATGTCATACTTCAGTGCTAACATGCTGAAGGTTGTGATATATTTCTTCTTAGACTCCTTTCTTCTTCTTAATATAATGATACGTAGCTCTCTTGTGTGTTTGAGAAAAAAAATATTTCCATTTCCATAATCTGCTTGATATTCTGGTTAATTACCATACTCTTCTTAAGTAACACATAACTAGTTTGTGAATGACTGGATTTTTGTTGCGATGAAGGTGGATGTCCCAATCAAATACCTGAACTTCTTCCTTGAAGATGATGACGATCTTGCGCACATAAAGAAGGTATTACTACAGATTTATGCTTCATCAGACATAATTCATCATTGTGAAAATACTTAAGTTGTGTGCTTCCATTTTCCATTTTCAAACACAAACACCAGGAGTACAAGGAGGGAAGGATGTTGACGGGTGAAGTGAAGCAACGACTTATGGCAGTTCTATCTGAGATTGTTGCTAGACATCAAAGAGCTAGAGCTCAAGTGACTGAAGAGGTACATGATTCATTCGATCTGCCATCTTGCATATTGGCTTCTTTTTTATCGACGTAGGAGAGCTAAGTGCCATTTTTCATTACCAAACATATGACCCTGCATGATTGGTTTCTTGCACCTTGTTTCCAAGCGAGATTAACAATTTGTTTATCTTGCGCTTTTGTCATGCATGGCATAGTATCTGCACATAGATATGCAATTCTCACTTACACCCAGGCTGAATGGAACTATAATTGTCCTCATATGAGTTTGTATGAATTTCTTGCAATGCTTTGACGATTCTGTTTTGTGCAGATGGTCGATGCGTTCATGGCAGTGAGGCCTCTTCCCAATATGTTTGGCTGAGCATCACGACGGCAACTTGGAACAAATATTTTTGTTATCAGGGAGAATTTAAGGGTCTTTAGAATTATATGGTATCACCATAAGTATCTCCTGTGTTTTACTTCTGGATTTATGCGAACCTGGCCAAAAATCCCATGTGGTGGCTGTGGTAGATTTTGTAAACTCATACATGATATGGTATCAATTCAGATAGTTTTTTCAAGCATATATACATGTCATTGTAATAGCGAGTACCTCATTTTTTAGGTATAAATGGATGTTCTTTTTGTTTAAGTCGAAAACCAATGTGTTTGAATTTAGATGAACAATTACTTGAACGAAACTATAAAGAGAAATTAACTTGTTTCAACAAATGGCACTGATGGTAAAAGAAGACATTGATCAACAGAAAAGGGCTTTTGATTCGTTGTAGTTAGTTTCTCATTAGTTTCTTTTGCTGCTTGTATGTCAGCACCATTCGGGGCTCTGCGTCTTAGAGCTAAGGGGGTGTTTAATTAAGAGGTAGTCTATTATCATCTCACTCCTTAATCTTTTTGTTTGGTTGGTGAAATAGAATGAGTTGATGCAACACCATCTTATATTTCTTATAAGTTAATAATCAGTACTAGTACGAGAGTGAAGTTATTCCACCGAAATTGAGGGACAGCAATATAGCATTATGATGTATCATCTCATTTAGAATGGATTGGTCCTTCAAACCAAACACACCATACGTGTTTTGACTCCTATCTATATTTTTAAACTTCTCTCTCTATGTTTAAACTCCTTCTCTCTCTTAATTGAAAGAAGGCTCTTGCCACAAAAAAATTTCCCCTCCTTAAATGACACGATGGCCTATTTCTGGCATTCAATCATTTGTGAACCAGCATGTGTATGCCGTCGTTTTCTCATTTGCAATTCATAGGATTTCAAGGAAAAGTAAATCGTTTATGGCGATCATGGTCGATGCCATTATCAGATAAGAAATAAGAAATTGTCCTAACACAGGAAATGCGGGAACACGTGACATTCATTTTACTTTCTATAAGATGCTTTTCACAGTTGATGGAGCTGCAGTTCGTTTAGATCCTGTATGTGCTTCCGAACTAGTATCATCCTGAATTCATATATATCATGTTCCTTCAAAATTTTGTGAAATACATGAAATTTAAAAGAATAACAACTCTTTGGAAGTGGATTCTCTTCAACACTCCTTGAGTTCACCCATTCCACCTCCAGAAGCCCCTGCTGCGGTGCGTCCGGTTGCCACTTGAAGCTTCCTCTTCCGATACAGTGCTGTCCAGTTCACTGCGAAGTGATTCAAACTCCTTTTCTAGGGTATCCATCTTCTGTAGTCGTTCTTGAATCTCTGAAATTTCATTCTGTCCATTGGGCAGTGGGGGAGCGATGTTATTGTTATTTCAATATCGAGTACTAGCAAATGAAAGGCGACATGAATAAACTGAATCATTCAGAATTAAAAGGGGGGATGGGGTGCTAACTGATAACCTGTACTCACCACAATGTATTGCACAAGTCACTTGGTTAATTTGTTTCAATCAGCCTATTGTTTTCTTTTTTATATTAAAAAAAAGAGATAAAGGCAGTTCAAAATCAAGTACCCGCAAATGAAAGGCAACACAAATAAACTGCACCATCCAGAGTTTTTTTTATAAGTACCATTCAGAGTCAAAGGGGTGCTAACTGATAACCAGTACTCACCACAATGTATTGTACAAGTTACTTCACTAATGTGTTGAAATTAGCCAAATTTTAATTTTTTTGTAGAAAACCAGTGCGGCATAATGGTTACTACTTTTTTAGAATGGTATACTGGCAATATATAAGCAAGGTGGCAAAGAGCCATGATTACCAGTGAAAAACGAGTTTGTTTATTAGAGATTATGCTGTTATTGGACTTGGTCACAAATTTAATTTATCCCTGCTCTGAACATATTCCCTTTTCTAAATTTCTACTCCCTCCATTCCAAATTGTAAGTCGTTTTGGCTTTTCTAGATACATATGTATCTAGACATAGTGCATATCTAGGTGAATAGCAAAAATTATATACCTAGAAAAAACAAATATGGATCAGAGTATAAAACAATTGTTCAGGAAAAAGATATATTCTAAAAGGAAACTAAGTTCGCTACAACCATTCATAGCATGGCATAAGGTATTGAGATGATAAATAATCAAAGTGCCAGAGCACGAGCTCAGATCCTTCCAAGTTATTGCCTACCTCGAGTTTGGAAGCCCTGGTTTGTTCAATAGAAAGTTGATCTCGAACTAAGTGGAGTTCCTGCATAAAAGAGAGCCGAGTGAAGAAATGGAAGTTGATCACTGAGCTGAAAAGCATGTTTCTTCCTCATAAAGTGATGGTTGCCTGATGTATCATGTGTTGCAATTCTCTTGTATGTGTATATGTTCTTTTTTTATGATTTGACTTTTCTAAGAGCTCGATTCAAGTATAGTATTTGACACAATACATAGCAGTAACAACCTATAGCTTCATTGAGGTGCATTGATTCAAAATAGATTTTCTATCTTGTTCAACCTTATGTTGTGACAAATGGTTCACAAGATATTTCTACAGAGGTCATGGACAAAGAGATCAACATGTAAGTACATCATCACTTAGGCATTAGTAGTAGCATTGTAAATAAATATTATTGACATTCTCTGCAGTTCTGCACAAATTGGTAAGTGAGATATAACTTGCCTCAGTAAGTTCTGCATTTCTGTTCTCCACATCAGCTAGTTCCTGCTTCAGGCAGAGACTCTGCAAGCGCTCATGATTAAGTCTGTCTTCTATTTGATTTTGTTCATCCGTGGCTACTTGTCCCAAGGTTTTGCTGTTATATGCCCTATTGCCAGGCTGATGGTGAAAATAGTTGCATATGTTTTAACGAACAGACCAGAGAAACCATCCAGCATTTGTGTTTGTGTATAAAATTATTAAGAGTGAAAAAGAACAGAAACTGTGTTTATGCATCCAAACATTACATTACCTTTACATCTTTAAGTTCCTCAATTTCAAATATGACTTTCCTGCTAGAATTTTCTGCTACAGATATAGGGGCAAAACCATTTGACTCTGCTTCATTTATTTGTTCAGACGGGACACTTGGTTTGAGACTTGCCTTGAGAGCATAAGCCTAAACAAAAAGAACTGCTCAGCTGAATATAAGGGCATGTGAAAAACACTAGAGTGCTCATAGAGAAGCATGCCTGATTACTACAACGCCCACTATATCCTCCAAATGACACCAGAAAATTCTCTCCATTAATTGTGTACATTACTAAACTTGAGCCCTGTCATAAATATGCCTCTGAATATCAGTAACAGGCTAACAGAAAGAGCACGTAACAAATTAGTACAATCAATGAATAATTATGAGTATATAAGTTTATAAAAAAGGCAGTTTATTAGACCAGACGAGCTTCACCATTGTGAGATACTTAAATCCATAAATCGTGACCTTGATTGAGTTGGAATTTGAACATTAAACCAGAAGTAAGTTTTTTTTCTCAGTTGAAAATACTAAAATTTTCGAGTGAATAGAGTATGCAGAGTATCAATGAGCTCACCTCACTTGTAGGGGGTGCACGGACCTCAAGATCAGTGAGAACTGACCATTCATAAGTAGACATGTTGAGTACAAGAGTATCTGAGACACCTGCAGTGGATTGGGCGCACGTAAGCAGGAATTATTTTTATGATTTTTTTTAGAAAGTGAAATGATATAACAAGAGAAGAAAATGATTGACACCACATGACAAAGATAGATAAGTAGGCAGTTATATTTATCAGGACATTCCTGATGTCTCCACCATAGAAAATTGGTTTTGAGTTATAACTCATAAATCGTGGGGTAATAAAACTGTCAGATATCTCAACCTTACCTTTCCTACTATTTCCACCCCCAGTAATGAACCAATATTCTCCAATAGTTACACCTGCATGCCCTGCTCTTGGTTCTGGAGTAACACCTTGCTGCTTTGGTCTTGACCATTCCATCTGTAACGGCAAAGTGATTCATTTGGACTCCCAAAAGAATTACATACCAGCTTTAGAGAAAAGAATACTCACTGTCTGAGTGTCAAGGAGGTGTAGGTCACTGAAACATGTAGAATGAGATCCCCCGCCAAATATCAGAAGATACCGCTCAGCAAAGCAAGCAGCAGCGTGCTCTGACCTTGGAGAAGGGGGAGTGCCCCTGGAGACCAACAGCATAATTTGAAAACAGTCAGATATTATGTCAAGGGCCTCGTACCCCTGACTGGCCGGACCTCGGCTACGTAGCTCGTAGCCGCCGTCCGTCACGCCGGCGAGGTTATGCCCCTCTGCCGTCGGCTTGTAGAGAAATAGGGAGCTTAGGGATAACTTTCTGCTTAATCTCAATTGGTTCCAGCGTACAGAATATATGGCCCTTCGCCTAACAGATGGAGAAGGCTCTCCTTAATTCTAGGATTAGCCTAACAAGGAAACAACTAACTATCTTTCCTCCTAGCCACTCGCCTGCCCCTCCTGGGTCCTGACCGCGCGCTCGGCGTCCCTGCGGACGTCGCGGGCCCTCCTGCGCCGGGCGTATGTGCGCCCGCACATGACATATTAGTCCTGCCCCTCAAAGCAGAGCAAGAAGAATACAAGTTTCATTCCATGTCCTAGACCAATTGTATTACCAGCTGCAACTGCAAGCGAATTACGAAGTAGCATAATCACATCACTTCAAGTTTGGGTTCTCCACAATTATATAAGAAACCAGTTCAACATAAAGTGGAAGGCCAAGAATCTTTCCAATAGGGACCGGTGCATAAAAACACATCCACATTTACAGGTTTAGCTAAACCATTTCTAATGTAAGTTAAACAATTGAAACTAAATTTACTTCATAGAACTTACGTGGTCTCAAATTCATCCCAAGTCATGGTCTCAAGATCGAGAATGTGCAGATCATTCAGAAGAGATCTCCCATGACCTTCACCGCCAAACACAACTAGAGTGTCTCCAACAAGAGTCACTGACTGACCACCACGTGAGCTCTAAAGGAAATAGGAAAAATCATCACAGATTTGAGGGGAAAAAAACAGCAGAAAACAAAGCAAGTTTCAGGTAATAAGCTAATTTGTATAAATACTATAGAAGCTTTATGGCGATAAAACACAGACAAACACAATCATACCGGTGACCTTCCATAAGTACGCAAGGTAGACCAAGTGCAGGTTTGTGGATCAAACTCCTTCACTGTCATAAATGAGCATAAGATATCAGAACTAAGACACTGAGAAATGAATAGGAAAAGACATGTGAAATATTAGCCTAACCACTGAGACTTTCTGCAGGTTCTCTAGTATGTCCTGCAAGACATAGGATCTTATTTCCCCATTGAATCTGGAAGATATTAAAGTCAGATGCAAATACACTATACAGTTATGAGCTAACCAATTGGGATAAAACTGGCCAATTCCCTAAGACTCGAGTGAAAAGAGCTTTTGGTGATTACCACTGAATGACCAGCACATGCAGAAAATGGAACCGCTCCAGCAGATTCTGATGGCTCTACTTGTGATTTAGCTTCCAGCTTTGACCATGACAAAGTTTTGAAGTCCAGAACCTTTGATCAGAAAAGGATTCCCAATGTTAAGACCCATGGCGTTGTCGCTAAGACAGTAAGACTGAAGGTGCTGGCTCAGTACAACATCTCAATTCAAGACGGTTGTGAGAATTCCTGCCCATAAATGCAGCAGCCAACAGATACAACATCTAGAGGAACAATCTACCTGAATGTCGCCAAGGTAACGGCCATTGTGATTTCCACCAAAGACGTACATCTTCTGCTGAACCACCGCAGCTCCATGCTGCAACCATCATAGACAACAGGTCACTACATGTGCAAAAGTGAGATTAGGCAGTCAAGAAAACCAAGTGGGACCTTATAGCGTGGTTTCGGAAGCAGGCCAGAAACAGAGAGCGGCGTCCACTGATCATAGGTGCTTATGGAGCAGAGCCCTTCCATACTGACTTCCTTGTCCTGGATATCAGCCATCTCCCCGTTCTCCTCCGGCACGACGACTTTAGGCCCCTCGGCGGCAATGCTGTTGGGGATGGACGATCCGATGGCCACCGGTCCTTTTGCAGCCAACTAACAAGATTAAGGAAACAAGTCCACGCGATCAGAGATCATACTGTTAGGTTAGAAAGCAGTCATGATCACATATCCTGGTGGTCCTAATGATCAACTATTACGTTAGTGTATCGAATTACCAGAGCCTACCACAATCATGAATCATGGGACAGAAAATGTCCACAACAATGGAATGCCAAAAAAAATGGCCGCGGTATGACGAGATGTACGAAACTGAAAAATCTACTTTGGCCCTGTTTAGATCCCACCCAAAATCCAAAATTTTTCAAGATTTCCCGTCACATCAAATCTTGCGGCACATGCATAGAGCATTAAATGTAGGTAAAAAGAATAACTAATTGCACAGTTTACCCATAATTGGCGAGACAAATCTTTTAAGCCTAAATAGTCCATAATTAGACAATTTTTACCAAATACAAACGAAAGTGCTACAGTAGCCAAAAGCAACAAAAATCGCATCTAAACGGGGCCTTTGTGCAACAGGCACTACCAAGTACTGTAGTAATGACTCTGCGTCGCTAAAGCTTGGGCGGCAGCCGCAACGCGAGAAGCACGGATAACAAGTCGAGAAACCAAGCGGCAGCGCACGAATTATCCTCCACGAGAACACTCACCGCCATCTCGCCGCCCGGCGCTGCGCCCAGGACCGGAGGTCTGGGCCGCCGAGGGAGGGGTGTCGAGATCCGGATGGAGGGGAGGAGGAGCCGAGGAGGGCGCGCACCGCGCAGTGCAGGGGTTCTAGAAGGTTCTGGATCCGGCGGAGCCTCGGGAGGGCCGGCCGGGGCCGAGGATTCTAGAAGGCTCGAGATCTGGTGGGGAAGCGCTCGCTTGACGCAGCGGCGACCCGCGAAATGGGAGTGGGAGTGGGAGGGAGGCGAATTCGAGCAGCGTACCATGAGATTCGTGCAGCCACGGATCAACGAAAAATCAGATTCAAGTAGTAATAATAATAAAAAAAATTGATACAGCATGAGAAAGCTTGCTGCCGCAGCGAGCACAATCGACCCATAAAATGTTTTGGATCGAGCATGTATAGGACTATCTCCGAAAAGGCAGGATATGTTCAAATGTACAGGCAGAATATATTCATATTTTCAAATCAAACAATTGCTCTGTTCGTTTGGGTTTGTTTAGCTTATAAGCCGTACTTTTTCAGCAAACGAACAGTATTTTTCTCTCACACCAAATCAGCCAACAGTACTTTCAGGCATGGCTTATCAGCCAAACAAGCCCTAACGAACAGAGCGAATGAATATACAGGGACTTCAACCTCCAACTGGAATGGATTCAGAAATAAGAGCGGCCCATGGCAGGTGTGTCCTGTATCGGGTAGATATTGATTTTAATTCATCGGCTCTGTCGCTCAATACTTTTTTAACGAGGCTTTTCATATTGTACGCCTGCGTTAATACTGGTCTAAGAAATCCCTCGCTTTTACAAATTTTCTTTTATTATACTACATATTAGAAAATATATAAAACTCTAATGGAAAACCATCAAGACCGGGGGTTGTATTATGTTTCATCCGAAAAAATGCCTCTCATATCTCACAATCATTACAGTATAAAATCATGCAAGTGAATTGCCTCCCAGGAAGCTCCAACTCTCTCCAGTTAAAAGTGCCGATGACTGCGTTAAACAACCATAATTATAATTGACATTATTCTTTTCATGTGAACCATATATGGATATGATATTAAAATCACCCTCTACTAAAAATAGATAAAATTGGTAAGGTTTTCTTTAGTACAGAAGTTGTACCAACTCCTTAAGAAACGATTCATTGAACTGTTGCTAACATATACAAACATAAGCCGCCCCCATTGATAACCATCCTATTTAAATCCCCTTCTTCAACTATGCAATACCAAAGTTTAAGAAACTAACCCTACCAGCATACCACCAGACCGGCCATGAGATCTATATAATGCCACAAAAACTTCTTCCTATCATAAAGGTTTTTCAAGATATTTGGAGTGCGATCCCTCCGGCCCGTTTCGGATAAGGCTACAAAATTTAAACTCATGTATGCTGTTTAGAAAAGTGGCTAAAACTGATTTAAGCGCCTCTTAAAATTTGCATAAGTTGTACAGCAAAATGGCATGAATATAACAATAAAGCTATATTCGCCGGATGTCGTTTGCACTCAACTTTGGTCCTGGCAAACACTCAGACACTGTTCTCACAGTTCGTGATGCTTTCACAAGACCCGGAATAGACCAATGTCCGTATCAATCGTAAGCATGACAAGCCCATCGGGCAAAAAAAGCTGTCATCTTTATTCAGGTAAGGAAACACGCCCATGTTTTCTCAATTTCCACCACCTCATCATCTCAGCAGCAGGAGCAGGAGAAACCTAAAAACACTACAAAATGACAGACATTCCAGCAGTTCTCTATGAGCTTGGGAACAAGAACAAGGCTCAGAGTTAGCTGCAAGACCGCGTGGACCCTCAGTGCTCCTCTTTCTTCTTCACGTTCTCATCCTGGGGCAGCGAAACGAACTGCACAATGTTTTGGACGACATTGGCTTCGACTCTGAACCTCGAGGCGATGTCGTCCACACTCATCAGACCCGGGTGGTTAGTAGACTTTCCTTGGTACAGTTGGATTATCTCCTGAATGTGCTGGACGTTCAGGGCACCTGATGGTAGCTGGCGGCTCCCACTTTGCCCAGGTTCAGCCTTTGATGTTCTCACCTTTGGGAGCGGTCTGTTGTACTGCTGTACAACAGAAGCCTGCCAGATTGAATCTGTGTTAGTTTCGGTTGCAGTGGGTACTCTTTGTAAGTGGATAACCAAAGACAGTACTACTTTTTTTTTCATACAAGCATGGTGTTGTTCAATTGAAAGTCTGTAGGCCAATGCAATATGTTGCCATAACTTCAATGATTCAGACCTATAACGTGGGAAGCATTCCTTAGTTCTAGCGGACTTACTTCACCCATTTCTGGTTTTCCTCCAGGTTTAGTAGTGATTCTCCCAACCATGTGCTTGAGCATCTCGTCATAACTTGGATCACGTTCCTCAAGTACACCATGGACGTTTTTCGTTGGTGTCGTGACATCTGCATTATACTTTCAAAAATTACAGACTGGTGAACAAAAAAATTGACCACAGCTTACATGCTAAAGTTTGCAGTTAACCAACATGGGAGTGTCATGCTATATACAGAGACACTCTAGATCCTAGATTCCTAGACAAGCAAAGAATTTGCATTTAGAACATACTGAAAAACAATTTTTGGCATATTGGCATATGAGCATTGAGGTACTAAAAGAAGAATTATCCAAAGAAGACTCAAACGGGATTAGCTAGGCCCTGTTTGTTTCCGCTTATAATCGGATTCTTGGTGAAAAAAAATGAGAATCCTAACCAAACACTTCGATGATTTCTGATTCTGCTGACTGCTGCTTCACAACTTTGAATTAGCGAATTTGTGAATGGAGAATTGGAAAAATCCCTGCGGTACGGTGAGATTATAATCAAGTATGCCATAGGCGGAAACAAACAAGGCCCTAAAATCCATACCCACCCACACAAATGCTTTAGCGCTGTTGATTTTGGTCCTGAAAATCCTTTTTTTTTTTAAATCATCAACAACCAAAAACACAAATGTCATGCAACATAAGAAGCAGGCCAAACACCATCTCAAATCTCAAGGTTCATGTTCTTACTACTAGCTAGTTTGGCATCGGTGGACATGTCCATGAACATTAAAGGTGTTTAATGCCTGCGAATCAGATAAGTGTGGTCCTTGCCTACTCTGAACTCCCTAGTGTTCTTCCCTTCTATGATATCACATCGATGCCAGTATCCATACTTAGCAGAATTGAGCACTGAACCAAATGAAATAATGTAAAATTTCATATTAACACACATCACTGTCATGTTGGAGAGGACAGGCTTGCCTTTATTGTAGGTGTGGATATTAAACCTTGTAGCATAGGGTGTATATATGGGGCTCACACCCAGAAAACCAAATAAGAAAGGACTTCTAATTGTGGGGCTTTAAGTACCAGAGTTTGGAATAAGTAGATCCAATGTTTTGAAACGAATTACAGTTCACAGAGAGGAGCAATGTCCTTTACAGAAGAGTGAGAGCTCATATTTCCCAATAGATCCAATGTTTTGAAACGAATTACAGTTCACAGAGAGGAATAAGTATATCCAATGTTTAGAAGCTGATTATTGCTATCGTAGAAGTTGGCTAGAAGAATGAGTGCTGAACAATAAGAGGCATCAAACAGAACAAATTGCCAAAATCTTGGATCAATAAGGTGATGAATAAACAGCTGCAGAATTTTGATGGAACACTAGCCACTGCCCCCCCCTACCCACACACACTGCGTCCTGTATGCAGTAAAAAATCAACAATATATTATCATACTTTTCCATATACTAAAATGCTAGTGTGAAGGGCGCACTGTATGCAATAGTCCAATTTGGTACCTGTAACCAGTAGGAATCCACTGTAGTAAATTCAATATTATCTGGGTTAACTGAGGCATGACAGGCACAGTAAAGTGGTGATACTACATACATTTCTACTGAACAGCTCTAATCGTTGGCATACATTCCAGTATTCCACCCATCTGATTAAATACCTTAGCACAAGAAAACACAACAGAGGGCCCAGAATCAAGAGCTAGCTTTTGTTACGTCCTAACCAATCCGAGTTAACAAGCATCCTACTTTCGGTCCTCAATCTTTTGGTAGAACTTAATCCACAACCACGTCACCCCGTGAAGACTTACTAGGCTACGGAAATGCAAGCGTCAGCAGACCAGGAGCCTAGGCAAAACCAGCGAAGCGAGCAAGCTATAAATCCTAGAGTGGAGAATCCAGGAGAAGCAGCAGCCGACCCTACCGTCACCGGAGGGCGCGTCGAGCCGGTCCTGCGTCGCGCCGCCAGCGGCCGCCGGCGACGCCCGGGGCGGAGGCGGGGGAGGGTGGGGTTGCCTCGCGGACGGCGAGGGCGAGGGAGGAGGGGGCCTCACGCGCCCCGAGGCGCGGCGCAGAGCCTGGCCCATGGACCTCCGGGCCTCCGGCCACCGGCGGCGGCGAGCGGGAGGTGGCGGGTGGGAGACTGGGGATGGATCAGGGTCAGGGACGCGGGGCGCGAGCGCGCGAGGCGGCCGCCGCGTGTGTTGTGCGAGCCTTGGTTGGGGAAGTCATTTGCGTGCTCTCCATCGAATTGCGGTTTTCTTTTCAATTTTAACCGTCTTTATTAAAGTAAGAATTTAAAAATAACCCGAACCTGACTTTTCTAAACTAAATTTTGCCTCGCATGTCACAACGGGCTTGTTTGCTTTGGGGAATGAAAAACCTGTCCGGTTCAAGCAGCGTGTACCCCAGGATTTTTTTTAACACTTTTTTTAAACTATTTTTCATTCTGCTTTTTTTCCTCAAAAGTAACACTTTTGACCGAGCCTATTTCTAGGGCACGGTAAAACAACGCTGTCGCACCATGCATGGCGGCGCGGCAGGGGTGCGTACGTGTCAACGTTCCGGGCCGCTGGTCGCTGACATGGCAGGCCTTGCCGCGCCACCGATTAGGGCGCGGCAGAGCGAAATAGAGGCCCGCGGCCCAGTCCCTTTCCTCCCTCTCTGTTTCACTCC